AGAAAGAAAGAAAGAAAGAAAGAAAGAAAGAAAGAAAGAAAGAAAGAGAAAGGAAAGGAAACCAAGCAAGCAGGCTTAATGGTGAAATGGAACTAACTGTTGTTTATTTTTTTTCTTAATAGGAGAACATTGTAGCCCAGGAGGAGATATTCGACTTGCAACTTGACTGAACAAACTTCCATGCACCAGTGGCAATGCACTTATGATGAATCTTATTTGCAGAAGATTGCTGGGTAGAGCTGCTTTCCTCCTAAACTAAATTCAAAGGGACATTTTGTTTTAGTAGGCATGACTGGAGCTAATTCTGAGATATTAAGAATTAGCAGAAATCAACATTAATATTTTATTTGGAGTGAACTACAAAATTTGACCACAGTATGCTAAATGTTTTTGTCAAGTATTCCTGCAGAAGTTTGAAATATTTACTCCCTCATAAACCTTCCAATTGTCAAAATATTTCTTAAAGGCTGTTCTTCAGAAATCAGAGGCAAGAAAAGTGATGCCCTCTGTGAGAGCCTCTGTTCTTCCAAGTGAGCTTTACTGAGGAAGGCTAGTTGGTTTTTTTTCCATCCAGGATGAACTGTCCTCAGATTTTATACTTGAGTTTAAATAGATACATTCAAATCTTATTTTATCCCTATTTTCAGATGGATGGAAATTTTCAGGTGTGCCTTTTCCTTGTTCTGAATTTTTTGTTTCGAAGTGCTCTGAGAATTTTTGGGATTTTAGAACAAGAAAAAGAATTCCTATGCAAAGCTGGCTAATATGAGGAGACTCATATTACCGTAATTTCAGTGGGACTAAGTTTTGTGTAAATAGGAGGAGAAAAGAAACTTAATATCAAACTCAGGGATATGGAAGCATGTTTGTTTAACAGCAATAGCTTCCCTGAAGCACTGTGATTTTTTTTTAAAATAAAAATCTAAAGATTCTTATATTTTGGTGTCAAATACTTTTCCTAGCATCTGTCACTTTTCTTTGGGCAAGCCTATTCTAATAATTTGATGAAACATAACCAACTCTCTTTTGGCTGTGCTAATGTGGAAGTGAAGTTTGGAAGTTCTGTTGGAAGAAATATCCAGGTCCAGTTCCAAGTTCGGAATAAAATGGAGGCTGCTTGGAAAGGAAAATTCTGTTTATTGGTGAACAGAACCAATACACACAGCGTGCAGTTCTGGGACAGCTGACAAAATGGAGTTGAGAGTGGGTGGGTTTTTATACTTATTTGGAATTTGTATTTGAGCTTCCTGTTCCTGTGCAACATTCCCTTTATTTATTTATTTGATTTGTCAATCACTTACAAGATAATAGGTATAAGTATATACATAGTTATGAATACATGAAATGGGTACATATAAGAAAAATAAAAGAAACAATAGGACAAAGAGGTAGGCACGTTGGTGCGCTTATGCACACCCCCTACAGACCTCTTAGGAAAGGGGGTGAGGTCAATAGTAGAAAGTCTAAGGTTAAAGTTTTGGGGGTTTGGGGAAGAAACCACAGAGTCAGGTAGAGTATTCCAGACATTGACCACTCTGTTGCTGAAGTTGTATTTCCTGCAATCAAGTTTGGTGCGGTTAACCTTGAGTTTGCATCTATTGTGCGCTCTTGTGTTGTTATGGTTGAAGCTGAAGTATTCATTGACAGGTAAGTCATTGCAATGTATGATTTTATATAATATATACCATACTTAGATCAGACCGAAGACGGTGTAATTCAAGGTTTTTTAGGTCTAGAATTTCAAGTCTGGTGGCATAAGGTATTCTACAACGAGTAGAGGAGTGGAGAACTCTTCTTGTGAAATATTTCTGGACTTTCTCAACTGTGCTACTATCAGATACGTAATGTGGGTTCCAGACTGATGAGCTACATTCGAGTATTGGTCTAGCAAATGTTTTGTATGCTCTAGTTAGTAGTGTGATATTACCAGAGAAAAAGCTATGTAGGATTAGTTTAACAACTCTTAATGCTTTTTTGGCTATGTACTTACAGTGGGCTCTAGCACTTAGATCATTAGAGATGAGTATTCCAAGGTCCTTTACAGAGCTTGGATCATCAACAAGATCTTGACTTTTCAGCTTGTATTTTATTTTCTGATTTTTTTTGCCAATATGTAAGACAGAGCATTTATTTGTTGAGATTTGAAGTTGCCATTTGTTTGACCATTCTAATACATAGTCAAGATCTTTTTGAAGGGTAGCAGTATTGTCTGTGGTATTGAACAGCTTTACATCATCAGCGAAAAGAACGCAGTTGCTCTTAATATGATCACAGAGGTCATTTATGTAGAGTATGAAGAGAGTTGGTCCTAGAACACTGCCTTGGGGGACACCACTATTGACAGGTACAGAATTTGATAGGACACTCCCAATTTTGACCATTTGTTGTCTGTTTGACAGGAATGCTTCTATCCAGTTATGCAGTTGTCCAGAGATACCATAAGATTTTAGTTTTAGGAGTAGTTTGTCATGTACCACTGAATCAAAGGCTTTACAGAAGTCTATGTAGATTGCATTTATTGCTTTGCTCTGATCGAGTTGTGTAGTCCATATGTTTTTGCAGTGTAAGAGTTACAGGTTACAGCAGGGGTCCCCAACCGCCGGTCCGCGGACCGGTACCGGGCCGCGGAACAAGCCTTACCGGGCCGCTGGTTGCTGGGCGCCGCCATCTTTTTTTTGGTAAAAAAGCGCTTCTGGTGAGCTTTTCCGGGTAGAAAGCTCACCGGAAGCGCTGTTTCGTCATAAAAAGATGGCGGCGCCAGCGCTTCCGGTGAGCTTTTCCG